GCTGCGATGCTGCCTTTGGGCCACGCAAATAAACCCCTTGCAATGGAAGCTTCAAACACTAGCTCTGTCCTTTAATGTGAAGGCCTGGGGTGTATACTCAGCTCCATCTCAGTATTTTTGTTACTTTGCTGCATTGGAGCCGTGTTTCACCATGGTCAGCAGCAAGTGGTGTCATGGCCACGCAAGCAGCTTTGCCCCGTTAACCTTCACTAGCTAATAGCGGCTTTACAAATACCAGACTGAAATAGCTCACTGCCATGGTTGTACTTTTTAATCCCTCCGCTTTTCCACCCAGCTTTCTAGCATGCCGCAGAATTCCTGCGCTGTGCACCGCTCCTGAAGCTGCTTACACGTCTGCATTTTCTTCCTGGGATTAATCTTGAGGAGCATTTCAGGATGTACACACGAGTGTGGCTTCACTTTTGTTGGGAAGCTGCGCTCTCTTCTTCCTCCACCCTCCACATATACCTTCCTGGTACCTTTCCTTGTCATCCCATTACTTGTTTTTTCCCCAATGTCTTTTATCTTTTGAGTAAAGTTTGAACAGTACGTAGAAAGTTAACTGCCTGGAGTCTTTTAAATATAAGTAACACGCACCCAGTAATAAGCTGTCGGTTGTTTTTTTGCTGCCTGCAAAGAAACATAAACACAGCGCTCATTTCTGGCAGGTTTTTACTGTCAGAGTTTCTCCTATTATATTTATCTTACAATTTGCCAGGGGGTGAAGTTATTAAGTTTTAGCAGCAGCCATCGATCAAGTTCACAAGTTAACACGATAAAGGCTCTGTGCCGCTCCGATCCGGGAAAATGATGATCCTCACTCGGTAATTAACTAAATGAGAAAGTTAAATCTTACTTGAGAGCTGGGAGAGATGAAAGAGAGGTGTTTGTCAGCTTCTCAGTGGAAATTAGAAGCAGTTTTCTGCAATTCCCTAAGCTGCTGCTCTGTCATATTTTACATAAGCACTGGGAAAACGTCTTGTAATTAGTGCTGTCATGGAGGATTTTTTTTGCTGAAGGATGTTGGAATAATTCATTAGATTATCAAGAAAGGCTTGTGTCCTGAAATGATTAGCACAGTGAAATTTAAACCATTAACGATAACAAGTTTAGAGCTTGCTGCAGTGCAGAGGCACCCGGGGTATGTCTGTGCCTATTTCAATCATTTCTTATAATTAAACATTATGTCCTCTTTTTTCCTCCCCTTCACTGAGACCCATCCAAAATTCCTGTTAAGGTGGCTCTGTCTAGATCAGTGACTTAACCACGACTGGCAGTGCAGGCAGTTAGAGGTGAAACGCTGCAGTTGCAAAGAAGCAACAGAAGACGCTTAAGAAGACGCTTGAGGCAGAACCTGTCATCCCAGTGAGTATGGGAGGAAGCACAGGGTGACCTATTGGTCCCAGGATATCAGAGGGAAGTTCTTTTTGCATTAAGAAAAACTCAACTGAGAAATTTGAAGCAATGGTCTAAGCACTGAGTCTTTCCAGAGCTCCAGGATGAAGTTGTCTTGACAGCTCAGAAGGTCCCAAACCTCGTTGGGTCTGCCGAAGCCACTCTCGATTTTCTAGTAGGAAACAGCTTCTCTTTTAAGAGAAAGAGTTTGATTTTTATATCAAGATGTGCATAAACCGAATTCATCCACACTATGAAAAGTCTCATAACGAAGTGCTTTGCAACCATTAGAGGACCTTCTGTTTTGTTTTGTTAAGAGAAAGAGTTTGATTTTTATATCTATGAAAAGTCTCATAACAAAGTGCTTTGCAACTGTTAGAGGACCTTGTGTTTTGTTTTGTTTTTTTTTAAGTTGCAACTTCTATTATGGATGGGGAAATGCCTGTATTAAGATCAGAGAATTATCCTGGTGCTTGTTTTTTTCTGTGCTGTAGAAGGATGCCTAGTCCCCCATACTGAACAAAAACAAAAATAACCTTCATTGTCATATATGTGCTACAGCTATGAAATACCAGGGTGGTTTTGTCTTCTAAGCAGAGCAGTGGACTATCCAAGCTTTATTTATCTACGTCGAAATATTGCTCTTTCCTATGGTTGCAAGCCATTATTTAGATTAAAGTCCTCTATGTATTAGTCCTCTTCTACTTCACTGGGCGTACAAATGTGCTTTGTGTTAAATGTAGCCATTTGGAGAAATGGTCTTGTAATTGTGAGCTGCAATGGAGCATAGTACGTAGATCCCTGAGCTAGTACCAACCTACGGCATTCAGTCCCCTGGGTTTCCTGGCACAGCCTGTGGCTCAGATACACCATGTAGGAGGGCACCTGTGCTATTCTTGCACCTGAGTTGGCTGGCCTGGAGCCATTGGGGAGAGCTCTGAGCCCTCTCTCACAGGGCCAAAACTGCCTTCCTGGCTTTGTGCATGTGAAGCAACAAGGGCCTTTTCTCTCCCAAGTTGGTAGTTTGCTGTATTGCACCCAGACTTCCTCCCAGAGTGGCACGCTACTGAGGCTTAGGGTTCTTCACTTTTGGAAGTGAGGCTTATAGGAAGTGCATATAAAAGCATATATAGTGGACACAGTTGGATATTTGAAAGAGCTGTTCGCACCGCACATGTAGCAGTTCTCCTGTTTCCAGCTTAGAGCTGGTTATTGTTGAGGAGAGGGAAGAGGTTGTAGACTATGGCACGCGACGGCAAATAGTTACTGCTCCTGTGCTGAGATAGTTTGTCATGAACTTGAGGCGGTGGATTGGGAGGATTGGGATGGTTGAGTCATGAGGGTTTCTCGGGAAGCCAAATCGATTGTCTGACTGCTAGTAACCATTACCCCCGACATGCTTTAATAATACAGATGCTCGATGCTGTTGCTTTGTTGTTGCCTTTTTTAATAACAGGCCTTTTTCACTGAACTCCCTGGTGGGTTTTCAGGAATCTTCAAACGGAAGTTTTGGCACGTTGCTCTTAACTGTAGCTGCAAACACCCTGGATGAGGCGTGTGGTGTCCTCTGCAGAGCGGCTGAGCGTGGGGTCTCCTCTCGTCCTGGTCACAGGCCGCAGGACCTGTCCCATGTGCTGTGGCCGCTTGGCTGCTTTTCTTTGCCCCTTGCAGAGGGAAGCTGGGGCAGGCCGCGGTACGATGTAGGTTCAGGCTGACGTGGTCCAAATGTGGCCAAAGTATACACGGTGACCTAAAAAAATCCGGGCTTCCCCTGTCCGCTAATTGTGCACCCTGTGGCCCATGGAGTGTTTCATAAACGCGTCCAGTGAGCAGCTCCGCTAAATAAACTGCGGGCTGCTACAAGCCTTGGACAACATGCTCTTAATTTCCTCATCCTTCCCGCCCGGGGGCCCTGCATTCGCCTGCGATGGAGGCAGGATGGCTTGGCTCGTCCCCACCGAGCCATCTGTTTGTGTGCACGTAAGTCATTGCTCGTCCTCTGCAGATGCTGCAGCTTCTGTTGGCTTCCTGGGCCCGAAGCCGCAGAGGTGGTGGGGAGGCTGAGGCCTGGTGGGAGCCCGGGCACGCAGGCCCGGAGCGCCCGGAAGAAGGAGACTCTCCAGCTCCGGAAAGAGAATCTAAGTTCTGTGGATTTTCTCTAAAATGCTCAAACATAAAATAGAAAATAAAGGAATAGCGGGCTAGGTTTTGAAGTTGTTATTGTGGAGAGTTTTTCTTTGTGTTTCAGTGTTAAAATGTTCCTCATGTAGCAGAGGTCTTGAAGTGCAAGAATTCTGTACTCCAGAGAAACAAGGAATTTCTGCATTCTAATCCCAGTTCTGAGAAACAGTTTCTGTGGTCTGTAAACAACTCCGTAGTTGTTTTAACTCATGAATTAATCCGTGCCTTAATACTAAATAATAAGGTATCTAGGTTTAAGTACTCATTTTTCCTGTAAAGTCCATAAAATCCCCCTGATGAGATTAATGCCTAAAATTAACATTCAAAATGGAAAAGAAATATGACATCTCTAAATATATATTTTATGTATACTGATTCTGTAATTTGTTTTTAATTTTTTGGTAATTAATAGAGAACCACTAAATGTATTTTGGAAGCAAAAAAAAAGAACTAATAGTATTGACTTTAACAGTGCTGTCTGGTGTTAAACCATGGCAGTGCACTAAAGAATGTTTTCTGTGGGAATTATCTACAGTAGCAAAATGAGAATTATTGAGGTCAGTGCTGTATGGATACCTTTTTGCAGCAACACTTTAAAACTAAAACTTATTTTAAATGCGTGCCCATAGTAAGTATTTTTAAATTAACACTATAAAGAAGGGAGCCTGTAGCCATAATTAAACCTGAAAAGCAATAGAAAAGTAATTTATTTACCATTTAATACAAACTGGTTTTTTACTAGTATGGGAAAAATAATTTCCCAGCAGTTAATTCTGCTTTGACAAATGATAGACTAGCAATGCAAAAGTGTGCGTTTCTTCCAGGTAAATCATTTAAAATGCAAGAATTATATCTTTCTATCAAGTAATAAATTGAGCATTTTGTTATGTTCCAGAAACTCTCTCCAAGTTCAGCCCTTCTGACATGACAGATTTAATAGTTCTCAGAAACTTTTAAGATATTTCATTCTGTGAAAGAAGCATGTGCCAAATATCAGGGTGTGTTTCAGTAGGCTCTACCCTTAAGACATAATTTTACACTAAAAAGAAGTGCTATTTAGATTTTTTTTTACCCATTTCATGCATTTCCTATTAAATTCAGGAGTGGTCCATTCTTTATAAGAAAATAACAGCATAAATGCATTTTTCCATTGTTGCATTCAAGTAATTGATAACTGTACATTAGGAATCCATCTGCCTTTTTACTGGATGCAAGATGTAAATAAAGTTGTGTGTGTCTGGAATTGCCATTCATCGTTTCCCATCTAACCAGAGTCATCCGTGTGCAGCACCAGTGGAGTCTATGTTCTCAGCCAACTTTATATATCAGAAAGCTTTTTCCTTCTGTTATTTAGAAAAAAAAGAAGTTATAAAACATCCCGAGCTGCTATTTACATGTGTGTTTTCTCTCCTTCCCTTTCACAGACCAAACTTGCCAATGGCACTTCCAGTATGATTGTGCCCAAGCAAAGAAAGCTGTCTGCAAGCTATGAGAAGGAGAAGGAGCTCTGCGTCAAGTATTTTGAACAGTGGTCCGAGTCTGACCAGGTGGAGTTTGTAGAGCACCTCATCTCCCAGATGTGTCACTACCAGCACGGACATATAAACTCATACCTCAAACCCATGTTACAGAGGGACTTCATCACTGCACTGCCAGGTATTGCTGCAAATGGAGGAGGGTTGAGTCTCCATTTTGTGTTTCAGAAAATGCTTATGCTTGGCTTTCTGTGACTGCAGCCTGCCCTGCTAAAGAGCTCTCTTTTACCATCAGTTTGCAAAATAGATGATAACATTTTACAATATGAAATGTAATAATATTTTGTTTAGTGTTCTTGTCATCTTTCAAGGTGTGATCTAAAATCAACGTCATTTGGCTAGAAGTAAGTGATAGATCTTAGCAGCACACAAAGGAAACACAACACAAGGCAGTGGGTTGTACTCTTAATGCCCCTAACAATGCATGAATAACAAAAATTATAAAAATTAAAACTTCTCTTATATTTGGTCACTCAGGAGAGATTCCACTTTTTGTTTTGTTTATTTTACTTGTAGGATATTTTCCTGAAACTGCCAAATTGATTTTTTTGGTGTGTGTGTGAATTGCCAGCATAGGAAAACACAGAACAGATCAAAGAACAGAAATGTTATATATAGTTGCACCTAGGTAGTACTTTCCATTGAGATTATTTTCCTGACTGTTCTCAGATAGGGCATTGGATGAATCTTCCCAGAATGCATACATTAAATAGCATATAGGCAGGTTTGTATTGTTCCTGTCTCAAAAATGAAATAAAAAAAATGAAGCAGTGGGAGATAAAACATACTCAAATGTATACAGCAGTAGAGTTTCAGAACCGGCAGGAAATTTCTGACTATTCTTTTTCAAACCATTAGATCATTTCTCTGTAGATAGATAGTTAATAGATTAGCGTTGCAACAGCTTAGCTCCTTGTTTCAGAGGGACCTGAGTAAGAAGTGCTGCAGTTTTTGCCTCTTGTTTCTTGCACAAAATTTCTTCTATGGACACCTTTGTGGAACCGTGTTCACCATGTTCAGCCCAGGGTTTCACAACAGGACATTTAAATTCTAGGACTGGAAGAGGAAAAAGCCTGTTAAGTTCTGAATCTTGCTAAGAATTAAGGCACTGCAGGAGTGTTGCTATGAAGTTAAATATGTAGACTCTCTGGATTTTTAAGCTCATTGTGCTCAGTAATCAAATGGCTATTCTAGTGTTTAAAAAAAAATCTTAGTTATGCTAAGTACCTGCTTTATGTGAGTTTTTAGTAGTCCAATGGCAATAATCTCATGTACTTAGAGCAGCTTTACAACTTGTGAAGCTGTTTTATTTCAGAAAAATGGAGAGTATTTTGAAAGGGCACTGGTTTCTCCACTTTTAAAGTTGAAGTACACATATAGTTATATCCATATTTTTTCAGTTCTTTCTCCATCGTGCTACATCAAAACAAGCCAGCATGTCTCATTGTCCCTTGTCTATGTCCATCCTTCAGGCTTTTTCCTGAAAGTTTTGGGCAAGCATTAGAAGTAGTTTCAGAAGCACCCAGCATTTCTCTGCCTTTGTTTGTTAGTAGGTTTTTTACAGTAGTCAAGTACAACTGTCTTCAAATTTGTCTTCCCCAGAGTGTAAAGCAGATAGGAATTAGGCAGTTAATATCTGAGTATTTGAGGAGTTCTGGGAATAGTGTGCCTAGATGATGTATGTGAATGGATTTGCATGTCTGTGAAGTGCTGATGTCCTAGCGAATATAGTTTTAAGAGAGAAAATGTGCCAGGAATTCCTTGCCAGGAATTAACACTGGCTCAAAGTGCAGTCAGAGAGTTGCAAAATGTCATAGGGAAACATGGGTGGAAAGGGAAGGTGAGAAACTGCTAGGAAAGAATTATGCTCATGGTGGTTGTAGGCACCATGAAACCCTTGTCATCAAGCTATTATAGAAAGCATTTTAAAAATTAGAAGACCTCAAGGACAATATAAGCCTTTATTTAAACCTAGGATTAAGAATTAAGTTGCATAAGATAAAATAAGCTAAACTCTTTAAGGATTTTGTAGCTTTCTTGTAACCTCATATGCTTGACAAGTTTAATTTTTACACCTTCATTTTCTCTCTTAGTCTCCCCCTCACGTAAATTAAGCAATAAAATTACTCCAAGATCCTCTCCTTGTCTCTCTCCTCCTAATGCTATCCCATAGAATGACTATGTTTTCAGGTAGTTTTATATCAAGAACATGCTTTTTTAATTCAGAGTAAAATTGGTTCAGGTTGTGTTCCCAGGACTTTGGATTAAGGTTGTTTGAATAACACAGATTAAATATGCACTTAACAGACTTTGTTCCGTTTCTAAAAAGTAGGGTCTCGGCTTAGAATTGCCAAGCAGTTAACATTTTTTATGAGGAAAGTCATTTTTAAGGTTTTCACGTGTGAAATAACTGAAACATTCATTCGACTCCAGCTGCATGGGACTACTTTAAGAGTTAGCCCTAAACTGCTGGGATAAGTCGGCGTGAAAGGCTAAAGGGCTAATCATGTTTCACGTTAGTTTATCAAAACCTTTTGTGAAAGGAAACTTCTCTTTTTTTTTTTTTTTTTTTTTTTTTTTTTTTTTTTTTTAAGAAAGTGATGCTCTGGGATATACATGTCTGAGCGAGCTGTGCTCTTCCTAAGAAACATAGTAATAAATTGAATTTGTAGCTGGGCCAACGTAACTTTGCCCTCTCATTCACTGTAAGGGGAGTGAAGGGCTGCAGAACAGCAGTATTAATTCTCTGCAAGGGGTCTGGTATCAATGGCAAGAGTGACTGACAGTGATGGAAATATTTAATCCACCCTTCGGTGGCAAGATTTCAAGTGCATCTACTGATAGTCCGTCGTGGATCGGAGGCAGAGCTGTGGGTGAGGATTATTCTGCATAGTTTATGCAGTGCAGCCCTCCTGCTTTTATGCCACTAATCTATTCCCCAAATGCAATCACTTTTGCTCCCAAAATGCTTACATAAAGCCACTAAGGCATTTGTAAAGCCTTAGTGAGTATGTGGGTGTCTCCAGGCTGCTTGGAAGCAACACAGAGTGAGAAAGCAAATAGGCTATTTCCACCCACTGGAGAAAGTTCAGGAAGGCAGATAGGAGGGTTGGGGAAGCACGACATGATTGTCCACCCTGTTATCCACACGACTGAGTTGTGAATGGCCTGCAGGTTGCAGTTTTTCACAAAACATCATCTCTCTCTTTCTATAAATTACCATAAAATCACCAACATGCGTTTTAAAGAGTTTTATATAGTAAGTGTGTATATCTTTTTAAATTAAATGTGTAATAAAGGCTACTGAGGCTTTTATATTGCAGGTTGACGTCTAATTTTGCATCTGTAAAGAAAAGAAATATCAGGCTTCTTTCTCTACTCTGTGACTGCATGCGATACCATTCACATGCCTTTTGCTATGAATGGAAGTATAAGATGTTGGGGAACAGGATAGCTGCCTCAAAGTGTATAGTAACTGTACTTGGAAACAATTGTAGAAATATACAGGATGTTTAGAAAAAGAAAGAAGGGACATGCTGAGTTCTTGTGCATGGAGAGGTCATTTTGAGCTCTGTTGGTTAATGAGAAGGCAAAGGTTGGAGCCCACATCATCTCGTGAACTCTAATAAAAATCAGCTGATGGATCTCAGTGTTTGCTGCAGTATGGCCCTGTGACTGTAAAAATGCCTGGGCCACTTCTTCCTTCTGGGTCACTGGCAAGCCAAGCCTTGTCTCTAGGGCTGTCATTTCAAAAGCAAGAAAAGATGCGTTTAACTGTGTTCCAAATGTGCAGAGGAGGGAAGATGCATGTAATGCCAATCTGCCATGCTTCCTTTTTGGTTGGTCCGAAAGTTATGCTGGGAGGATGATGGGGTCTGTGCTGCAACTTGCCCAAAGCCTCTGAAACTTGACCTGGGAAGTGAGATAATCTCCTGACTCTGTGTGTCTCACTTGCGAATTAAACTGCCTCCAAGAGAAATTGCACTCATGCGACATCTCGTTTAATAGGCATCGTATTCCTCTGAAGTCTTGCTAGTGATAAAATTTGAGTGGGTAAGAGCAGATTTTTAGTGGATAAATCTGTCCAGTCTAAGTAACATGGCATGACCTTCCCTGGCCCCTGGGTGTTCAACTTACACTAGACTGGTAGGTGCTAACTAGACTATGGAGTCAAAGCCCTGTAATTGTGGTGGTTACATGTTTCTTACTCTGTTGCCTTATATTTTACTCCAACCATGTTGAAATAAAGCCAGTCTTGGAAAATATTTGCAAATTTTACCACCTTTGTGCAGATTTTTCTCCACCCGCTGAAATAAATGATACTTGCAAACCTGCTTCGCTTTCTCCTTAGCCTGCCTCTTCTTCCCTCCACTTCCCTGTGCATCTGCATATCTTTCCCTCCCCCATGTCTAAAGGTACCACTACCCTTCAGGGCACACATTGGGAATATATATTTTTTTCTTCATTACGTTTAAAAGCTACTGCTTTAGCAAAAACAGCTTTTGAGCCGTTGGAACATGAGAACAGCTGTAGCAGTGAGATGAGAAATGGTCCTAATATAGAGAGATTTTGGGGGCTGCGTCGCTGAGTTGGAAATGCCATCCATAGAATATCCCCCTAGTGCTAAAACCCATCGAAATAGATTGGAATGACTTCTTGGATTCTTTATTATTTTTAATGACTTGTTGTGTTATATCCAAAGGAAGTTGGAGAACGCTGTTCACTCCTGAACTTAGCCGCAAATGCTCTTCTGTGCATTTGGTCCAACTCTGCATGTAGAAGAGTAGATGGAAAGGCATAGGGAAGAGCGGGTTTCTTACCCCCCAGCAAATAATGCTTCTTTCTTTTCCCTGCCCTAGCTCGGGGACTGGACCACATTGCAGAGAACATTCTGTCCTACTTGGACGCGAAGTCGCTGTGCGCCGCGGAGCTGGTGTGCAAGGAGTGGTACCGGGTGACGTCGGACGGCATGTTGTGGAAGAAGCTCATCGAGAGGATGGTCAGGACGGACTCCCTGTGGAGGGGGTTGTCAGAGAGGAGAGGATGGTGAGGTTCCACTGTGTGTGCCTCAGAGCGTGTTTGAAATGGGTTACTTAGCACCCCAAACTTCTTTTTGGTTCCACAGCTGCTTACAGCAAAATTCTGGGGTTGGGGAGAAGGGCTCTGTGTGGCTCTATAGGCGTCTGGGGGCTTTTTCCTCACCTTACTCATCTGTTCATGCTCTTACCCACTGTGACAAGTGAGATATATAGAGTGAGATTTTTACACCCAGCTGTCATTCGGTTCAAATTAAGAAGCTGTGTATGCCCCAAGGGAACACTAAACTTGTCAGCAGTTCAGAGGAGCTTTTTTAAAGGTGGCAGTTGGGCAGCGTGTGTTATGAATTTGTTGTTTCCTGATAGGTCTGTTTGTTTTCCTCAGCAGATTTTCACTATTAGATATCTGCTTAATTTTCAAACTGGAAGCTGAGGGTAGGTACCACGGAGAATAGGGGACTTTAGAAATGCAGATAGATTAGTTAATAATCATCTGGAATAGCCTTACTAGAGTGTGGGTCTCACTCAAGTTTGAAGCTGCTCTGTTAACATTTCATTAGAACTTTCCCTCTCAGGGGTACTTCCTTTAATACATAATTTTCTTTTCCAAGGGTGTCCCTAGGATGTTGGCAGAAAGGAAGCTGGGTATGAATATTTCATAAACAAGATAAAAGTGACAGCTCAGGCATTTTGGTTGCTATTAAAAAGAAAAAGCTACAGAGTTGCAAACAAAGACTTGTGTTTCACGGTTAATTTTGTTAGACTGTTTGTCTCAGGAAGTGAAGGCAAGTAAATTACAATTATGAGATGTCCTTCAAAAATAAGTACTCTGCTGGTCTCCTTGCAGGAGCCTAAGATGTATAAAAAGAGTAAAGAACCACAACCAAGACCCTACTAACTTTTACATCCCCTTTAGTGCTTTGGTCTCTCTTGGACTTTTGCTCTGTATTGTTGTAAGTCTAAAGAGAAATTAGGTAGACTCTCCTGTTTCCCAAAGGCAGTGCAAGCTTCTTCTAATCATCCCAGGTGTTTGTCCAACTCATTTTTGAACACCTTCACTGATGGAGATTCCCCATGCCTCCCTTGGTCAAGCAATTCCATTGCTTCACCATCTTTACTGTTAGAAAGACTTTCCTAAAATCTAGACTCAGTCTTTATTACTGCAGTTCAGCTGATTTTATTTGCCCTGCACAGGCATAGGGGGCAGTTTCTTACTCTCTTTTTTGCAGCAGTCTTTCACAAGTTTGGTGGTAATCATGTTTCCTGTGTACTGGATGCACTAAGCAACCCTAGTTCTGTGCTTTTTTTTCTTCCTCTTCGTGATTCACTTGGGATAAACCAGCAGACCCACCACTGGCCCATTCCACTCGTGGAGGATGATGTCCCAGCTGGACTTATTATGGCCAGAGGGACACCAGAGTTTGGTGGTATGCGATTGCCTTTCGTGTCTTATGGAGGACACTCCTGTTTATGTTCAGCAGTAGAAAATGTGCTTTTTTTAGTGGTACTATAATACTGTTATATAGTCCTTTCAACAGCCTTTTTTATAGCAGCTGTACCTGGCCATTGCTTATTGTCTTGCATGCTTATGTTATTATTAAGTCCTGAACTTTGCTTTTGTCTTATTGAATTGGATTCTGTTTATTTCTTAATATTTCTCCATGCTTATTTCTTAATATTTCTTCACCTTATCAAGAGCATTGAGAGTATAATCAAACCCTCCAAAATGCTTGTAGCATCTCCCTGTTTTAGTATCGTTGGCCATGTAATAAATCTGGCGCCTGTTCCTTTCTTTGTCATTAAGGAAAATGCTCTGGAACAGCAGGTGTCAGAGAGATCCCCTGCAAGAACCAGCTGCCTTCCTGTTTGGCAGTGCACCATTAGTAACCCATTCTGTGTGGGCACCCTTGAGCACTTCCACCAAGTCTGTATCTCTTTTTCATCTTTTATTAAAAGAACTACATTTGTCTTTCCCCTATTCTCTGGAACTTCATCCGTTCTCTGCGGTGCATCCGAGATCATAGCTAATAGTTCTGATAGTTCTGAGGTTACTCCCTCCAAATTTTAGAAGTAATATTAATACTCCGTACTAGTCTTACAGACACATGCTATTTCTAAAAAACAATTACAAAATCCTGCTTCTCATCTCAAAGGGCAATTGTAACCTGTTACTGCACCTCTTCTCCAGGCTTATGCTGCGTCCTGGAGGTTGTTCTGATACAAGTGGAGCAAGTTGTGCAGTCTCTTTCAGATTGCCCTCTGGTTACCTCTAGAAGATATAACTGCAGGAATGGCAGAGTGGATAAGAGAGGCAGACAAGAAATATACAGTGTAATTGCATCTCTGCCATACAGAGCTTTATAGCTTGTAATCAGCTCTATGAATGGCACAAGGAAGTGACTAGGTGGACAGTTCAGAGTGATAGATGACTGGTGTTATTTGCTTACAGCTTCTCACTTAGCTCGGCACACGGGCAGCCTGATTTCGGCATTAGCAGTTTGTGGTTTACAGCAGAAACCACCCAGTTCTGCAACACAGTAGCCTTCCCTCACAGCTAGTCAGGGAGCAGAAAGGTTACATAGATTTAGAGAAGAATAAAAACAGAAGCCCAAAATCCGGGATTTATTATGTCCATCTGAATAGTAGATTATGTTGGCCAGTCATCAGAAACTGCAAACAATAGTTTCTTTTATCAGAGGGGAGCTGTGGAAATTCCAGCAGTCCCTTAGCTGTATATGCAGCAAGGCACAGCTTGTAGGTAGAGACAAGACCTTCCTTTAGGTCAGCTGGCATAGATGGAAACAATAGTCAGGTTTTCAGGCAGATAGGGTCATCATATACAGGGTGTCCTAGACCTATCCCAGATCATCCAGAATGTGCCCTACTTATTCTGCATATCATAGAATCATAGAACCATAGAATCGTTAAGGTTGGCAAGGACCTCTAGAGATCATCTAGTCCAACCCCCCTGCACACACATAACTCCAAAATATTTTCAGTTTCCCTGGGGCAATAATTTTAATTCTCTTGCATGGACTTCCAGACTACTGCTTCACAGTAGAGGACAGTGAATAAAAGTCCATCTACAGGATGATTTGTTTGCATCCACATGCCCCTTCCTCTCATATTTTCGTCCACATGTGAGTGGCTGCTGATCTCTGTATTTGAAAACACAGATGATTCCTCTGTCCAAAGTAGAAAGCAACTCTCTCTCAAATTGTACCCTAGATAGTTTCATTTTTTTTTAAGTAGTTGCAAAGTGCTTTTCTTGAGCATTTGTTTTGTTTGGTCAGTATTATTTACTTCCTTATAAACAGCTTTGGATCATGGTTGTGCTTTTTCTAATGCAAATTTTACACAGAGTACAGGAGGGCAGCTCACGCAGAGCCTCTCAAATGAGTTTCAAGTTATATCGCGTGGAAAGGACAAGAAAGAAATGCACGAGGAAGTATTGAACAATTAATTATAGCATAATGGAGAAAGGGAGGGAGAAGCGGGGCGCTGGCCCAGCGTAAACTCTGTGCCTCTGATGCCAGCATTGCACTCGGAGGCATTTGTGCCTCTCTCCATTTTGTGAGGCATGCTGCCAGGCAGAACAGCAGTTAGTACGCCCATGGTGGGGTTTACTAGCTTCCACACCGTGTTTGGTGGCTTCTTAACTTCAGGATGAGGAATTAAAGTTTTTTACACAGCAGGTAGTGATTGCCGTTTGCGGATTTTTTTTTTGTAGCAAAAATCTAGCTTGGGATATGAGTATTCCAAATCAGTATTGAAATGAGGAAGGCATCACAGATGAGGAGCTGCTTACCAAAATCTAGTAGTAGCATAAAATGACCATGTACTGAAGCTGATGCTGCTCCTGCTAGTGCAGATCAAGGCTGCGTACTGATTTTGAGCGTTCCCTGGCTCCTTTAATCTCCTTTGCTGATTTTCTTTTCAAGGTGACATATGATAAGGGTATGTGTGTTGTGGACATGAGCCATTCTCACAACCTATTGAGTTAAAGGAGCTAATGTCCAGAATAGATAATATATTTCCCTTCCCTGAGTGATTAGCAACAGCTTTCTCAAAAATGTATCAGAGTCCAAATGAAAGGCAGATATGTTGCAGGGCAAACAGAACAAGGAGCCATCCTGTCTTATGAAGTGAATTAAGTGTGAATATGAATCTGTCTGTGCTTTTCAACAGTTGTTATCCATTTGTAAAATGTCAGGAGGTCCTTTCTCCAAAACACTGAAACAGATAATGGGAGTGTTCTTTGTCTTCTAGGGGACAATACCTATTTAAAAATAAGCCTCCTGATGGGACTGCACCACCCAACTCCTTCTACAGAGCACTTTACCCCAAAATTATACAGGACATAGAGGTAAGAGATGTCTGTGGCTTTTTTTTTTTTTTTTTTTTAGTCTCCCTGACTTATTCAGGAGGCTGAAATTTTGGAACTGGTTTTATTAAATATGACATGTTTGTGTTTGTCCAGAGTTTGTAAATCCGGGATACTTACACAAAATCCTAGGGCTCTGTCACTCTTTCAGACAGAGGATGAGTTGGGTTGCTCAGTCGGCTTTGAAAATGCAGTCATAGAATCACGGAGTAGTTGAGGGTGGAAGAGATCTCTGCAGGTCATCTGGGGTCTCTGGAGATCACTGGTGCAACCCGCAGCTCAGCAGGGCAGTCAATACAACAGGCATGTCGGGGGTCACTGCAGCATCGCCCCATCTTGGTGTCCTCTCTTCCACAGAACTTTGCTTTACTGAGTGCAGTTGGGACCCAGTAGGATGCTATAGGATATCAGGATCTGAGCCAGGGAGAAAGTGCATTGCTAAAGACTGCCATCCTTTGCAAGACTGCAAGACTCTGGGAAATGGTGAAAAAGTGGGCAATGTTGCCTTGTAGAGTAGTGAGCAACATGGTGTGTTCTGGTAGTTCCCTAATAGCAAAAGAGGGGCTCAGTTTGGCTAAAGCTCACCTGAGACTCTTTCTTCAGTCATTTAATCATGGAATGACAGAGACTTGGAGACAAAAAGAGCTTTTTAGTTCATTTGTCCCTCACCATTCTGGACAATGCAGAAGAGCTGAGCCAAAAAAAAAGAGTTTTGCAGGCCTTTGTCTGTTTAATTGATTTTGCCATGTTTGTTACTTCTTCTGGAACATTATGTCACCAAATGAGCTTACCTTCAGGCAAAGGTGCTTTCTCAAACAAAAATAATGAGTAAGACAGTTCCATGCTTTATTTTTATTTCTCTTTTTTTTATCTTGTATCTCCTCAAGACAATAGAGTCAAACTGGCGATGTGGAAGGCACAGTTTACAGAGAATCCACTGCCGAAGTGAGACAAGCAAAGGAGTTTACTGTTTACAATATGATGATCAGAAGATAGTAAGTGGCCTACGAGACAACACTATCAAGGTGAGATTTTTTCAGAATGCCATACCCAATAACATACAGTGCTTACTCCTTAAATAATAGTGTCCTAATTCAGTGACACCTGCCAAGACTCTGGTTAAATGGTTCTGTATGCCAAGAGTGATTTCTTCCATGTATGTAACTTAGCCACCCCACGCCTGAGCAGCACATGTGCCTGTTGTGTGTGGCAAGAGAGCTTACCAAGCAGGCTGTGCTACCAGAGTTTCTGTCCATCTGTAATTACAGGCTATGTAATTACTGTGCCCTAATGAGAAAGGTAAAACTCATGTTCATAATAAAGGCAGGAGTATCAAAGTTGTTAATGTATTGCACTAAAGAGCCTGTGGAAGACTACAAAGACTGGCCCATGCCACTAAAGAAGTTCTAACTGCAATATAGATGGTGGATTGTAATAAAAAAACAGCGAGACCAGTAAGTACTTATTATGCAATGAAAACCTTGCTTAGCACCTGGTTTTGAATGTTTGCCATCCTAGATCTGGGATAAGAATACATTGGAATGCAAGCGAATTCTCACCGGACACACGGGTTCTGTCCTGTGCCTCCAGTATGATGAACGGGTGATCATTACTGGATCTTCAGACTCGACTGTCAGGTGTGTGCCCTTCAGTCTGAGCTTTCTGTTTGCCTCTCCGAGCTCGGCCTTGTTAGATGCTGAAGTGATCAGCTTTACCTACGTACTGTTCAGTCAATTCCATGAAGTAGATCAGCACGTTTGTTGAGGAGCAACTGTTCTTGTTTATCAGATACTCACACAAGTGACTGTCCAGGAGAATGAGAAGTTAAAAATCAGTCAAGCTCAAGGTGATTTAGGAAGACCATTTTGTTTCACCCCAGTTTTGCATGTTTGGACCCTCCCTAAGAATGTTTTTAAATTCTCCCTGAGGATAAGTTTTTAAAAATGGGTTGAATTTCTGAAAACAAATTTGAAGATTTAGTTACCTGTTTTCCCTTAATTTTAACCAAGGATGGGTGAAGAGATCTCCTGTGGGTTTAAACTCAGTTTCAGCATGATTTATCTTCCCATTCAATCTTTCTAAGCTTTTCCTTAAGGGTCTGGTAGACGATTGGACACCTCAAATCAAGACTCGAGGTGCTTGCTTTCACTTTGCAGATATGAAGTTCATAGACATATGAACTTCCAGGGATTCTAATATCTGCAATGTATATACAGCCACATTTGAATTAGTAAGTTGTAATATGAACCTGGAGATGAGAGAGCAAATGCTTCTTCCCCATGCTGTTAAGTATCCTCTTCTTGTCAGAGCACAAAAAACACCCATGCAGAGAAGTTAGAGACAACAAAAGGCTGTGTCAATTGGCCTCTTCTGAAGCTCTTAGCATGTGTTCCCGGGCTGCAGGCTTCCCACTGTGCCTGTATGAAAGCCTGCTACTAGGCTAGTGACTGTTAAATTCAGTCCCTTACATGTGATGCGTGCAGTCTTGTGGTGCTAATTCCAGTAATTAGTAGGAACCCAGAATTTAGGCAACACCACCTATCTGGAGATCTAGCCCTACATTAGTGTGGAGACAGTGTGGGATCTGCACTGTGCTAAACACGGATTGCAAAAGGAGAGGCTGCTCTCTGTAACAAGCACTATCATTTTCCATACCAGACCAGGCAGGCGAAATTGCAGACTGGCCACTTGCCCAGAAATACTTTGTTTCCTACTGTATCTATAAATGTTTGCGCAGACTCCAAAGGCGCATGGGATGCATCACTTTTATCCTTGGGTCTCTTCAGGAAAAGGGACTTTATTGAATAGACAGTACAGATGGGTTCTTAATGCTTCCCAGATCTCAGGGATGCACTTATCCAGGGAAGTCAGTAGGTCTTGATCTTCTGTTCAGTTTGGCAACCCTGTCTGCAAATTGCTTGTATGCTAATAGCTCGAGTCATTAGTCTGTGGTCGTTTTTTCCTTCCCATTCTATAATTGGCAGCCTACCTTTCTTTCATTTGAAGAACAGAAGTTTCAACATCTCCACATTAGACAAAAAGACTTCAGCAAGCTTTTTCACATCTTGCCTTTTCTCACTGTTTGTCTTACTAGCAGAGGAAGGCTTCCACGAGGTCTGTTATGTCTGGTGATACAGCTTTTTCTGCTCCCACTGTAGGTGGAATACTGTTGTGATAACACCAAAATAAATCTATTTATGGAGGATTAAAAAATTTGCAAACACACCCAAAAAGAACATCTTTAAGGCTTAAAATCACCATTTCAGGTCGCAGAAGTTCTATATTGAGCTCCACTGTAGCTTTTTTTCTTCTTAAGTTATTTTCATTTGAAACAGTTCATTCCAATAATACTAATTTGGCATAAAACCTCTTTCCTAATTTGGGTATTCGGTACCTTCCTAAAATGTAGTCATACACCTGGAGTGTTGCTGAGTGAATTCACTTCAGACAGTTGCTTACATTTGTCAGAGAAGTATTATCTTCTGCCTCTGCATAAATTATCCTCTGTGTTGATAGTCCTGTGAGAGAGGTCAAAAGTCTAAATCTGTTCCTGAACTTGCCTCTTACCAGGTCATGTTTAAGTGCTCCGAGACTGGAAATGGAGTGTGTGTTAGGCTTAGATAATGAGGAACTTCCCTCATTATCAGTCTCTAGGTCTGTCAATCTCATACCTTTCCTCAGCACTAAATTCTCTTAATTAAAGTGTGCTTTTCCTGGCTGAGTTGTTTTTATGATGTTAACTGCATTGCAGGGTTTTTGGCTGCTGCACTGTCTCAACATACCCATAATCAACAGGTTTATATTAATACATCTTCTAATGAAATATTTAGCTGATTTAGATATAACTTGTGTTTTTTGCTTCTCTAATATTACTAGAGCGTTGATTACCTCCCCTGAGCCCCTCTCTCTGCAGAAAGTCTACTGTCCAGTTTTTAACCCCTTTCCCCTCGGTTTTGACGCGTGACACTGCAGGGTGTGGGATGTGAACGCGGGCGAGATGCTGAACACGCTGATTCACCACTGCGAAGCGGTGTTGCACCTCCGCTTTAACAACGGCATGATGGTGACATGTTCCAAGGACCGCTCCATTGCCGTGTGGGACATGGCTTCACCCACAGATATCACCCTGAGGAGGGTGCTGGTAGGGCACCGAGCTGCTGTCAACGTAGTGGACTTTGATGACAAGTACATTGTATCAGCATCAGGCGACAGAACTATAAAGGTGAGATGTTTCAGAGGGTTTTTTATTTACAGCATTGGGAATTTAATAACCAAGAACAATGACCAGATAGGGAAGACAGATTTTGGCTGTTATTACGCAGACCTTTCTTTAAAAGTAGTGTCTTTCCTGCTGCTCATTTCCACTCATTCCTCCTGTGTTGAGATCCCATAGCTTGTTTAAAAAGCTGTGTGGCACATCCGGTGATACAGGTACCAATGCAGTTGAAAAAGGACTGGTGTTTTTTCTGTGTTCTTTTTCAACCTGACTAGTTCTATAATTTATTTCAGCATCAGTCATGCAAACAGTTGTCAGAGAGAAGCATGAGGGGCAAAAGCAAAGGTGAGTAGATAGGAATCACTTAGATGTTACTGCTGGAATCCTAATCTGTAGCATTAAAACTCAAAAAAATCTCATTCCTATGTATGTTAAATCACAGTCTGAGAGTGTTAGAACCTAATTCTGGAAGCTCTAAATGATAAGGAACGGCAAAAGCCTTCTATGTACAGCGATGCAGGCTGCCAACAGCAGCAGGCTGTAGTCACAAGTTATTGAAAGAGTAATTTTCCCAATCTTAATGATAGCATTTCCAATTACAAAAATTCTGGGTGCACCTGTACATCTCCCAGATAACAGCTTTTGTTAGTCTCCTCTTAATCATTTTGGCTCTCTGTTTTCCCCCAACCTCTCTCCTGTCACAGGTATGGAACACGAGTACCTGCGAGTTTGTGCGCACCCTAAATGGGCACAAACGGGGCATCGCGTGTCTGCAGTACAGAGACAGGCTAGTAGTGAGCGGCTCTTCGGATAATACCATCAGGTGAGAGACACACTGAGTTCTGTGTCAGCACGTTGTGTCTGCTTCCCTGGGACATGCCGAGGTTGGGAAACTGCAGTGCTCTGTACCCTTGTCGTCTTTGAAATATGCTTCTTTTGGTGTAGAACATTGGGAGCTACTGGGTAGAGATATTAGAAGCCTTTTTTACAGTGTTGTCTTCTATCCTCTGTATCTCAAGAGGCTCATACTAATCAACAAGCTGCATTGCTCTGACAATTCTGGTGTATGAAAGAGTTGGCAAGTGCCACTTTATGTGATGTCCTCTTGTGATATTTTAATTGGGCTATGTGTCTAGTTAAAGGGGTCAGATTTGCAGTAAGAGGCATTTAATCCTCTGCAGAAATCCTCCTGGGCTCTCGCCAAACTCCTTGTGGTACTTGGCACCTGGTAAAGTTTGGAACAGCTGGTTTAGAGCATGAAGTTCAGTTTGCTCCTTTTGCGCTTCTCCAGCTGCCCTGGTTGCAATCTGAGATTTAACTCCCTCTGATATGAGCCAGGATTTGTCCCTACAACCTGCAGCTGCTGACAGAGATGTCGCACTGTCACCTTTGCTAGAGGCAAACTCAAATAATAATGTGAGTGACCTAGGGAAATGGCTGAATCATGCAAGTAGGAAGAGGAACAGCCTCCCTTTTAGCCTTTGCCATTGATTTAGAGCTCTGTGCCTTCCGATAAAGCTTGAAAGCTGGACAGCCTAAGCAGAAAAGCTTTACTTTCCATGTTGAAAATCATTTCTACTCGGTGAAAATTATTCATCCTGCTGTTTGCCTGTGCTCTTTGTTTCCAACAAGCTGCCTCTCCCTGCTTTGGATTCTCTAAGAAAATTGTAGTCCTTTAGATATCACTAGGTTATTGTAGCAGATTTTACTGTATGGCTGTCTGAGATCATGGCTGAGGAAGAAAAACAGATGGTCCAAGAGAGCTGGGACTTTCCTCTCTTAAATGGGGAGAATAAGTGTTACAGGCATTTTACAAGAATAACACCAGTTATGATGAGAACTCGTGCACTTCAAATACTAAAAATACTGCTCTGCAATTTGGTCCCAGAATTAGAGTAATAAATAGTTAAATATTGCAGCACCTTGGGAAGATTTTAAAATATAGCTTGTAATATGAATAAAAATAAATGTCAATATAGTAATAACACTAAAGAGGAATGTGATTACTTTTATGCTTACACTGGACAAAATCCCTAGTTGACAGATAAATTGTGCTAGAATTTCAGGAATGTTGGCAGTGAATCTTAATGGACATCAAATTTCACAGCCTTGTGGGCAAGGCACAAGGCTTACCTGCTCCCTTACTTTTTTCAACCATTAGCAGAGAGCACATGTCAGTGGAAGGGTGTGTAAAACAGGGCAGATTGTAATTCCTCTGCCTGGGTGGCTTGGTGTTCTGTATATTTGATTTTAATCTACTGTAAAATACCAGGTGCTGTGTTTTGGCCTTAATAGAGGTTGCAGCCTGATATGGAATTCGAAGTTTGTGATTCTTCAGTTGCAGGGAAACTATTTTTCCGAAAGGAAACGGGACTATGTGATTTCCTGTCCTGTACCTGCAAATCCAAGGAGTGTTAGACATAGCTAGGAAATTAAAATAATTTTTATTCAGAGAAGCTTCATAAAAGGATATTTATCTATAGATAGACATCACTGTAATATTGCTGATTTCCATCAAGTAAAAACTGACCCATGTAGTTCAATCAAGTTACTTAAATCCAACCACTTCAGTATCCGGCCTCTAGGGGCAAAATTCTTAATTACTAAGGACAAGACGAGCTCTCTATAAGAAAGAAAAAGAAAAAGGAAATTTAGAACATGAAAATCAAGAGACTTAGACTTCATCATCCATCGTGGGTTCATTTACAAATGAGAGGTTGGTTTGCGTGGGTAATGATCCTCGCGTGTGTGCACGTCTGGGGGATCCGATGCCGCGCTCCGGATTTCGCCCTGGGTGGTTTCGTTCAGGCTTGCCCACGTTCTGAGCGGCTTCCAACTCGGACGGGACTTCAGGAGAAGGAAAGGGTGGGATTATTGCAGGCCTCCCTCTACTTCCAGGTAGTTTCCCAAAGCTATAGGAAGGAAGAATCTATACTATCCTTGCCTGCATGTGCTTTGCGGTGATTTTTATAGTTAGATAGTTCTTAAGCCCAATAATAGTTCTCTTATTATTTAGTTCTTTGATTGTTTAAAGAAGTAGTAATTGGGGAGGTTATCAAATCTGGGAGATGCCTTTGGCAGCCAAATCTGCTAGGCATCATGGAGCTGAAGATTTGGGATATGCTACTCTTGAGTTTTCATTATCCCTTTTGTGCAAGAAGGCCCATTCCTTGCGTGGCTAGGGATGTGATCATCTTTTCTAATCCCAGTTGGATTCAGGTAGAAACTCAAAGTGGTAATACAGGCCTGAACTGTTTCAGCCTTCCTGAACGCCGCCTTCCAAAGCTGCTGGCACACTTGGGATTGATGGCAAGAAATGGAAACACATGGCATGAAAGTTCCTGGCACATGATTGTGCTTTGAACCTTTCTGCACCAGTTCATTTCTGGCATTATCCATCCTGTTGACAGTCCTTGGGACACTTACTGCTGTCTGGCCAGCCGGAGTGCCTTTGGCTGACCTTTGCCACAGAGTTGCTTTGCTCTGACCTTGACTGGGGTCCTGTTACTAACGTGAAAACTATTGGGATCTTCACAGATTCCTGTTCATTCCTCCATGGTCCAGAGGGAGAGCAGCTTGTTTTGGCAGGACTGTAGAAGTCATTATCCATTAACCCTGAACACACATTCATTGGATCCAGATTATTCCCTGGAGGGATCTCAGGGATAAATATATGGGGACAGTTTCTCTCTCTCTCAAGGAAAAGTGACCCGATCCCTCAGCAACTGTGCTGCTTTTAGATGAGTCACCCAGACATTCCATGAACCTCTTGTCTTCCTCACTACTGTGAACTTCGTGTCAGTATGAACTCTAATTTAATAAACATTTAAGAGCTTTTGTGACTGCTCTCTTCTTTCAGCTGTGTGTCATAGGGTCACAGTAGATACTGCTATTAAAAGATTACTGTTTGTCATGAACAGAGTGCATATCATCTAGAGGTGAAATGCATACTGACGATACATGTCAAAGACCTTCAGTTCTTAGAGGCAAATAATCCCTCTTTATCCATGATAATTGGGAGTTACGTCAAGAAACTGACAAAAGTATGGAAAGCAAATCAACTTACTTCATAACTGTTTCAAGCATTTCTTAAAGATTTGTCAATGTAGTGTGTAAGTGTAAAAATTGATGTATTTTAATTTATTCTCCATGGTAAAAATCCTTCATGAAGTCCAAAACTGAGTTATTTACATTTGAGAGAATAACACATAGTTGGGACTCTTCCTGGAATGCTATGTCCAGTTTTTGGTGCCAGAATTTTTTAAGGCTGTTGGAGTATTAGAAACAGTTCATCAGAGAGACACAGAAATTATCTGAGAGCAGGAAGAGAATGCATTACAAAATAGTAAATTTAGAATGCCTTCATTTTTGCTTCCGCATAAGGTATCTTGATTACAGAGTAAACAGACTTTCAGTGGGAAAAAAAATGGTGAATAAAAAAAAGGCTTGTAATTCTTGTTCCTGTCACCACGATATTGATGTCTAAATTTGTCTGACATTAGCTTCCAAATCAGAAATAGGCGAGTAGGGGTACAAAGATTGTTGTATACCCTGTGAAGGCAATTTACCTACTGCAGCAAGATGCCAAGAGGATTGGTAAGTCTCCCTCTCCTACTATCTTCTAGTCAAGGCAGGATATTTTTATGAAAAATGGACTTCAGTAAAACAAAGTTATGAGGCTCACTACAATGATAACTGAGAGATATCCTGTAGCTTGTGTTACTAGATCAGTAGATACTAGACCCCTTTGGTTTTAAAATACTTGGATCTCTGAATCATTTCCCATGTGGTGCTGTAACATAAAAGGGTCAGGTTGAAAATCCATGCATCCAGCTTAACTGCAGGAAAAGGAGTGATGAATGTCTTTGTTGTTGTTGTTGTTGTTGTTGCTTCATCATAAACGTTATTTCCAAGTTTCCATTAAGTACAAGAAGGGCCCCAAACTTTCCTTGCAATAATCAGATGTTCAAAACTTTTCAGTACTTCTTCCTGATCTCTTCCAGGCTGTGGGATATCGAGTGCGGGGCATGTTTGCGAGTGCTGGAAGGCCACGAGGAGCTGGTGAGATGCATACGCTTTGACAACAAGAGGATAGTCAGCGGGGCCTATGATGGGTGAGGCTGTCAGTGCACTCTGGATGCCTTGAATCCTCCTGTCTCTTTTGTCTCTCACATCCTGCTTTGCCAGACATTCCTTATAAAGATTAGAGTCCTTGCCAGTCATACTGAGAAAGCTTTTCATGGCCAGTAAATAAACATGCTGTAAAGTACACTTTTTTTCTTCCTTTAAATTAATTCCGTATGGTTTAATACGTGTAGACCAGTTCTTTAGCTAATAAGAATATCTGAGACTCCATCTGAATTGTTTTACATTTGAAGCACTGGTAAGAACAACCTGTAGTTCTCTCCCTGATAATGTGTGGTTTTGGGGTTTTTTTTGTGATGGATCAGAAATCTGTCCATAAGCAAAAATGAAACTGCTTTTTTTACAGATGCAGTATATCTTTTTAACAGCGCTTAGTTGCCCTGTGAGCATGTTTGCCTGTGTCGCTTTTTTCCTGTAGCTGGACATCAGGTCATAGTTAAGCTATTTGTGGTTTACTAACAAGTCTCATACAGCAGTTTCCTAATTTTTGCTCTCTCTTGCCCTTTTGTGTTTTGCCTTTACAGTTTCCCCATCTTTGACTCCTTTCTTAATATACTTCCAGGAAGGCCTGATGTCCATCTCCCTGCAGGCCTCAGCAGCGCTCTGTGTAGCTGAGTTTCTTAGCTATATTCCAACCCCCTGAGACTTTGTTTGCAGTGCATGTAGCAATATGTGGAAGAAGGGAATATTCCTCATTCTTCCTTCTGAAATGTTCAGCACTTACTGATTCGGGGTAGGAAGTGTCTGAAATTTTTCATAAAAACTGCCTGCAGTTATTCAGCACTTACTGATTCGGGGTAGGAATTTGAGGTAGCCTGCAATTGCTACTGGAAACAAATTGTTCTTAACCTATTATCAGCCTTTCTCTTTTCCAGAGAGACGGCAAAGAGGGGGTGAGTTCCTCTTGGGAGAATCAGATAAGTGCAGAGGTTGATACACAGGACTGTTTTCTGAAAAAAAAAATATGTAGCACCTTCATTACACAAATCCTGACATTCTTTCTCAACTGTGATTATGTCTTTTGGACCATTCGCCTTTTTGCAGACTAGGTGTCTGCGATAACGCTCCTGCATGATTCTGTGTTATTGTCACCTGCTTTTATATGTTTTACGTTATTTTAACTACACATTTTTTCTGCTATTAAGCTCTGTGAGCTTTATGAAGGGGAAATACTAGAATCAGGTCTCAAGAGAAGAAAGATTTCTGTAGTTTTCCCTGAACTGGTGCATTAGCTAAGCTGTGCTAACAGTTAATTTTTTTCACAGTAAACACTTGCTCTCTTTAACAGAGCTGTGGTGTTTGTCTATTTTTTCACTACTAGGAAAATTAAAGTGTGGGATCTGGTGGCTGCTTTGGACCCCCGAGCTCCAGCAGGGACCCTCTGCCTGCGAACCCTTGTGGTAAGAGTTTTTGGTAGGGATAGTGGAGAGAGTAGCAAAGCATTCTTGATCAGGACTGCGAGATCTAGAAAACAAGGTGGAGAAAACTGCAGGTTTACTAGAAAACAAGGGAGCTTGAAAGACCTGTCCAATATAGATTCCATAGGCAGTCACAGACTGTCACTTCAGAGGGTCAATTCTCTTCTGCACAGTCGTGTCACCACTGCAGTACTTTGCATCAGTGCAGCGGTGAGGACTATCTTCAAGTAGATATATTAGTTTTTAGTACCATGAGGCATAACACACATGCTTCCCTGTGGGTAAAGGGAGTAGTTAAATATTTTTGTTCCTCTTTTGGGTAGAGGGGGTTTTGCTTCTTTCGGAGTCCAACTTAAAAAAAAAAAAACTTGCAGGGTAATTAAAAATTAGAAGCTGTGGAGGTTTCTTTCACTTTTGAAGTTTTGTTGCCTGGTTTTAAAGTTCATAACTAAATCCATTATGAGACTTGTCCTTCTTGGAATCCATGTGCCAACAGGTTTTCCCTTGCCCATGTGTGCATCTAATGATGTAGTCCATGTTCTCTGAGTTGTTAACGTGAAGTTTCCTGAAGAAAGCTAGTACCTGCCAAATTTTGGAGGAACAAGAGCAAAAGCAACCTTGAAATTGCCTTTTAGTGTCTTTTGATGCTAAAGGAAAAGAGAGGCTAATGGCTGGAAGAAACAAACAGTGAAACTACCTCCTCCTCAGACAGTGACTACACTGGCATTGCTCTCATGCTGTCTGTTGTTCTTTAGTGCAAGTCTGCTGAAGGTGACAAAAATGTCAGTGTGTGAGTGATAACATCATTCACAGCCGTGCTTAGCAGTGGCTTCTCGATGGTTTTAGAATGAACTGGGCAGGTTGTGAGAAAATCTCCAATGCAACCAAGGCTATGGGACAGTTCTTATAAGTGTCTCTGTATCCCATTCATGCCTAAATTTGGGTTGCTACTGTCCTGACAATACTTGCCCTGGGGATAAATGACCAGTATCAAATTCACATGGGAAAGAACGTACTGAAGTTCTTGTTTTTAGAAAATAAATATTTGGGCTGTGGTGGGGTCAGCATGCATTAAACCTGTTCCTGCTATGGTGTGTGACTGATACCTTTGCTGTAAACCAACAGTGTGCTGAGGCTGCCAGATTCTCTAAACATGTGGTTACCTCTCATCAGTCGAGCTGCTCTAGGTGACCTGCGCACTCATCAGCCACCCAAATTGCCACTGTTGCTATGCATCACACTCATGGATTTTGCTTCCCATTTGGTGCAGGCTGTGAAGGTTTAGAGTGACTCAGCTGACAGGCAGTAGCTCATTAGGCCAGACTGACTCTTTTTCAATCCTGTATTTGGACCATAAGCTGCAGAATAAGAGTCTGTGAGTGCCTTGGATGCCTGCAGGTACTATGCTGAAAAACATTCCTGTTAGCCAAATAGAACTGCAAATAGTTTTGTGGCTGAAATCCAAGAAAACCTTTTGTCATTGGCCACTCATTTGCAAACTGTGGCACAACTCTGTGCCCATGAATACGAGAGTCTAGGACTTCAGCATGCTATTAGTTCGTGCTCTGCTCTGAGACAAATGTGTGCTTAGTAACCTGTAGACTTAATTTAACTACTGTGATTTCCTCTGCATTTTCCAGCAGTGGACAGCCCAAGTGCCCCAACTAATTATATTATAAATCAGAAGCAGTGGGATGGAAACACTATAGGAATCTCAACACATGGATACTCATAAATCCCTGTTTGATAACAGTGGAGGGGGGCAAAAGAGGAGGGGCAGAGGAGGCTGTTGTGGTGCTTTTAGGGCTTTTCATGTTTGTGACAACAGGGTGTCCTTATACCCGCATGCCCATGTATTTTTTTTTTCTTTTTTTTTTTCCTCTCTACTCTTGGTCTCCAAAATTAAACCTGGCTGCACAATGAACATCGTGAGTCTCCTGCTGCTCGTGTTCAATTTTCAAACAGTAGGAGGAAAGCGCGCAGATAACGAATGCTCCCTGCATGCCAGGTCCTTTCTGGTTTTGTCTTCCGTTAGATGAAAGAGCAGCTACATGAGTCTGACAGCAGCTTTCCAGGCTCAGAATAAGCACACAGCACAGCTTTCCCTATCAGCTAGAGAGCCCAGGTCCTTGCAGCCTGCGCTTGTGATGTGCAGCCTTCTTATTGCCCCCGCCACGGCGGCAGCAAAGGGCAGGTGCGATGTGGAGCTCTTATGGCAGCTTTCATTAGCCTGCAGTGGCTGGGGAAAAAGAAGGGTTTTCAAAACAGTTTTTAGACATGCCGTCTCTCTTAGTGCTGTGAACAGGCCCTCAGAGGATCTGGCTGCTGTAGTGATATTTTTTAGCGCGGCCTTCTTTACACCACTGATAAATCATAGAAACTGGAACCAGAGATCCCTTTGGAATAGGTGGGGTGTTAGAAACCTATAAAGTATTTTTAAGATAAATTCGGATTGTTTGGTTAGAAGATAAGGAAGGTTCCAGTGATTGGATTGTTTTTAAAATTTATCTTGGAAGTAGAATCTGCCTTTAGTGTGTGCGTTTTCAGTTAATTTGAGGACTTAAGGATTCCCGTTAAATCAGCTGTTGCTTTCTCTCCTTGCTTCGCAACCTAAGCTTTGTTTTGAGAATCCTGTGCCATAAAGTACAGGCATTCCATTTAACTATTAGTTAACTATTCTGTTATATCTGAATATTTCAAAAGTACATATTTTCAGTATTTAACCACATTTCTGTGCCTGACCCAAGACCACTTGCACCATGTGGGCACTGCGGAGAAATACTTGTTAATGGAAGAGATGGGGCTTGCCAAACTTGCATGGCTTCTGTTCCCTTCCGGCTGAGGAGGAGGCCACTGCTCCTCTTGAAGCAGCAGGCACTGAGAAAAACATGGCCATCAGAAAAGGGAACCAGAGCAGATTTACTCTGTGATATCCAGGATCTTGCAATTGCCTCCTGTTAATTACAGTCTGAACTCTTGCCAAATCATCATGCCATTTCCAGGCAGCCTCAGAGCAGAATGCAAACTGCCTATAAAGAATGCCCTTTCTAGTTCATATTTTTAGAACTGCTTAAGAGGAATTATTACTGTGTCACTGGACTTTACAACAGTCTCCTTAGTGTCCTCCGCTATTAAACTCTTTCCTCTTCAGTAGTAGTGATGGTGCCAAGTCTTGAATGCAAAATTCTCCTCTCTTCCCCTTTAACCTGCCGCATATGGTAACGATGTGATTTCAGGGAAGAATTACGCAGTAGAGCAAGGAAGACAAAACACCAGCCTGAATCTGTTGTGCAGGGAGCTTGGTTTGTTCTTCACTGTGTGTGTATGGGGACTGAAGGGGTAATGGGATAACTTCGTGCCAAGAACTCAGAAATGGCAAACTCTCTTCAGCATGCTGAAAGAGGGCTTAGTTTATGCTATGTAGGTGGTGATGCACAGTGAGTCATGTGGGGTTTATTGGCTGAGAAATTAATTCAACCCTAAAACCAATTCCCAGGTTTGTTTTCCCCGCTCTGTCCCAGCAGCCAGCAGGTGTGTGAAGTAACATACTGTATCTCCTGCTTGCATTTAGGAGCATTCTGGAAGAGTCTTTCGACTTCAGTTTGATGAGTTTCAGATCGTCAGCAGCTCGCATGATGATACCATCCTCATCTGGGATTTTCTGAACGACCCAGCTGCCCAAGCAGAATCCACTCGCTCCCCGTCCAGAACATACACCTACATCTCAAGATAAATAACACTACACTGTACCTCACACTTGCACAGGTAAAAATAAATACATCAATAAAAAGAGACTCAAAGGGTGACACTGGATGTCGTGCCAAGCATGCTGCTTGAATGGTTACCAGGACCAGTCAGTATTTCTCATCTTGGATAAGCAGTAATTACAGTGTCCTGTAAGAGGATAGAGATGGTTTTGATGCCTTAGAATAGGGGCTTTATCCTAGGATTTGTGGCATGTGCTGCCTGTGTTTTCCTGAAGAACCTCTCTTCCTCTGTTCCATCACCATCAACAATTAAATCAGCTGTCACTGATGTCTAGAAAGAAGGAGGGTTTCTGCAGAGTGAATAGAGCAGCTGCTGCCTAACAAGGGGATGCAGATGGCCTGACCCTGGGCAGTTGTCACCAGGTAGGAGGACTTTGCCAAGAAGCGTCAGCTTTCTTCCCTCCCCCTGAAGTGGTGACCATTCTTCTCGCTCTGCAGCAAGCTAATTCAAGAGAACAGTTTGGCTAGAACTGAGGTACAAGCCCAGGTAGATTAAATCAAGATGTGTCAATGTGCAAAATCATTTACTTATAAGACCTGGCCCTCCTTCTCTCTACCTGCTACCGCATGTGTGTTAAATTACTAATGCCAGAGCTTGGCTGGTCTGTCCATCACCTTACCCTTATGTATTGGCCAACACAGTGTGGGGAAGAGATTGTATTTCTTGCTTGATTCGGATGCAGAGTGGATTCGATATATGAGGTCAGAGTGGGTTAGGCACTACCTCTGTTACCAGCTTGAGAAAAATGGCAGAAGGGCTGACTGAATTCTGCAAGAGGTGACAGTGGCCATGCAAATGCTCTTATGGGGCCCATCCTGTATTCCGTCTGTTTGATGGATAAGTGTAGGTCACGCTCTGGAGCTGTCAGCCCAGCAGTCTTTGTTTCCCTAAGCTCTCTGGTCAATGAGGTGTTCTTTTAAATCTGTAAAAGGTTTAGTACGAACAGGGTTTGTTTGTTTTGTTCTGTTTTTGTTTTGTTTTGTTTCCAGGACTCATTTAAGCTGCAGTATTTAAATTATCTGCCAATGCCAGGACAAAAGAACTATCCACGTAACCAATACTTGCTGAAGAGAGTGCTCTCAGACTTGTTTCTGGAACAAAGTTGGCATGCGGTTGATCTCAGACAGGGTCTACTCAGCGCGGCTGACTGCTAAAGTGCTGCTATATCAGAAGATGACTTTTATCTGACATGAACGATTAACATTTTTAAACCCTCCCTTTTTCCCCCTCTTCCCCATTTTCCTTTTCACTCCTCTTCCCTGTGCCCTCTTTGGTTCCCTTCCAGACCCAGTCACAGATGTCCTATGAATATATTTAAGATGTTGCCAGAATGTCTTGCTTTGCTGTTAAGCAGAAGACTTATAGCCACAGTGCACCCTGCTGAGAGAGTCACTTCAGGGGTGGGAGGATGGGTGGGGAGAAGGCTGCTACTTTCAGACTGAAATCAATATCCATTGCTGGGCCTTTATAAAAGCATTCAACTCTGAAGAGCAAGAGAAACACTTAAAACAGCCAGACCAGGGGTCCTCCTCCCTGCGGCTTTTGGCTGTTCTGACTACAGAACTATTTTTTTGTGGAGAGAGGACCCTTGAAATTTGACTGTTATGAGCCAAATCCATCTCTTTTCTCTCCTGCCTGCTCTGCTAACCCTTTAGAAGCTGGATGTGTATTGTAATCTCCCTTATCATCTGCTTGGCTGGGGAATGAAAATGAAAAGCTTAAAACCCCTTTTGCCAAAGTCCCAAGCATGATGGCCCGGGGTTGAGCTCCCGTCCCCATCGCAGTGTGAGCGTTGGCTGAGGGCAGTATTTCACTAGGAACGGGGTGGTCTGTACCAAGGACAATCTTCCTCCTGACATTGACCCTGGGGACAGTGTGTTGCTGGTGGCTTAGGAGCCGTTCTGTAGGTGGGATGAAGCCTGAGGCTAGGATGAGGAGAGCTGGTCGTTACTCTCTTCTTCCCACCCGCTTTTCCCTCAAAGAGGCAGTAGCCCCGTGCTGGAAGCGGGAGCTGCTAAGAACCTTGTGGAGCTCTTGAGCCTGAGCCACCCCAGCAGGAGTGGGGATACTACCCGAGTACTCTGGCCACGACAGCAAGATTTTGCTCGTATGCCCAGTGGTGGGACACTGGGTGTTCAGTTACCCGACTGGGTAACTGAATGTGGCCATGAGTGCGGCCAGTAAATTCAGCAGTAGCTCCAGGACAGTTCTACAGTGTTTCTGTGGCTGTTCCTTCCAGAAAGCATTAGAAGGGAGAGCTCTTGCTGCATTCCCTAACCTACGTGCATGCTGCAGTGCAGATGAGGGGCATGAGGCAATTAGTCCCCTCCTGGCAGCTGGGCTGGGTCTTTGCTTTGCAGCTGAGGCTTTTGTGAGCTGACACGGGTGAGAAGGCGAAAGTAGCCCCAAAAAGGAGGGACATGGGGAACAGTTCTGCATGTCTCCAAACTAGACAAAGGGGTCTGGGGGAAAACAGCTGTTTCTACAGAACCAAAAAGAATTGCAGCAGGCCTGCATTTGGATCAGAAACGATTGTTTAAGTCAGACCTGATTATTCCGGGCTGAGCCCACATTTTCACTGTAGCTCTTGAATAACCCCCACTGCTTTAGTAGGGTGTTGCTCCAGTCCCACAGTCAGAAAGCAGGGCCCTTTGTCTCTGGGGTAGAGAAGTTTTAAACAGAGTTAGTAACACCTTCTAAATTGGAACTTGGCAGATGGGAAATTTTATTTAGCCATTCTCATCAACTTCACTTTGCTGCGGAAGCAGTTGCATGGTTTCTACGTGCTTGGGATGCAGTTTTTCCACCAGTGAAATTTTGCAAGGAGCTGAGCCAAGCGTCCCCAGAGAGCAGTCCAGAGGCTTTAAAGCATTTTGGTGACAGCCAAGATGGTCAAAAGGCAATGGAGTTAGGGAGGAAGGGATGGCCAGTGCTTGCAGGGTAACCAGTACAGCTCTAAAAGCGCATGAGCAGCAGTGTTAAGCACCCAGCTCCCTGTATTTTCACTGAGGCAAGAAACTGCATCAGTGCTGAAGAGCAGCTCACAGCATGTGGTGACACTCCAGTTTTCAGGGTTTTTTGAACTACTGAACTACTGTAGAAAGAGTCAAACATGTTAAATCTCTTAACGTACCATTGACAGTATGACCTGTCGCTGCAGAGTTCTTAAAGTTCTGGATTTTAATCACAAGGTCTTCACAGCTAATTATGGCCCTACTTCCAGGTCTAGGAAGGCTGTTTGGGATTTCAGGCAGTTAAGATAGCACATATACTGCAGTCCCAAATCAAAACTGGCTGGAGAGTGTAGAGAATGAAAGTTTACATCCCAAACTTCCCTGAACTCAAGTTACGAGTCTTAGATCCTCTAAGTTCCGTTTTTGCAAGGTCTGTAGTTTGGTCACCTGTAAGCAGTGTGTACAACCTTAGCTGCTGGCTGCTGATTTAATAGTCATTTTCCATCTTTAGTTTGTCTCATCTTCTGTCTTCTACCCTTAGATTATTGTAGAAAGCAGTGATCTATTCTCCCAGCCTCTGAAGATGTGTAATATTTTAACTGCATCTTTGGGGCCGAAAGAATGCCTTTTTTTTTTTTCCTAATTGGGAGAATTTGGGAAAAACAAAAGACTAGTTGGCCAAACACAGACACGACACCACCACTGCAGTTTGTCATTGGTTCTCATAGCCCTGCTGCTCCATGCTGCTGTTTTGCAACTTCTAAGCACTGTGGGGTACTTGAGTGGTACCACAGTTTGAACTCTGCTGTGTAGAGCTGATAAGGTACAGTTTGTGAGCTGCAACTGAAATCTGTGTGTGGCAAATGGCAAGAACTGTGTCTCATTGTCAAGAGGGGGCTGTGTCTGGGTACTTAAATACAGAATTGCTAAGTGGGGAGGATTTCTGCCCAATTTCTGAGTTGTACACATTTTCTTATAGCTAAGAAGGAAACTGAAGTTATCTGATCTAACTTAAACTTGAATCTGCCACAGCTTGACATTTGTTGGTGTTCATTGTGCACCCAGGGAGGAGTAATCGGGTAAGTAGATCTCCCAGTGTCAGAAGAAAGTGGCTCATGTGTGTGTGCGTGTGTGTGAGTGTGCAAGAGTGCATGTGAGAGAGAGGTGTTAGCACGAACCGAATGCGTAATCCCTCAGCCAGGTTGGAGTCATTGTAGAGTTTGTGATGAAAAGAACTGGAAGAGATAAAAACAAGGTGTGGAATTGTCGGTGGGCTTTAAGTGTTGCACATCACTTAGAAATGAAATGGAATGAATCTCTGTGCTGCGTTGAGATCGTCACCTCTGCCACAAGTAGGAAGCTCACACTAGCCTTCCCCCTTGGACTATGGGATCGAAAGTACTGGAGATGTGGGACTGCAAGAGCAGGACAATCCATCATGGCCATTCCGTCTCCTGCTTGTGACTCCTTTGGCAATGGGGCACAGTTTTGCTGCAAATATTTCTCATCCTCAGAGGAATACAGCTTGCTTTAAAATATGCAAATAGAAAATGGCATGAAGGAATTTGCAACGAGAGAATTTCTGCAGCTGTCTCTTTCGGAGCAGCTCCCTCTGCTCCCCTTTAACTTTCAGGGACAGACATATTCTCTGTTGGAACAGAAGGATTTGGGTGACAAGTTTAAAAGCCTGTGATCATCAGAAATGCTGAAATGCTTTAAACTTGTTTCTAAACTGGAAGCTGGCTTGGACCACCGTGCTCTGCCTACCCACCTCCTGCTCCAAAGGATCCTTTTATTTTTTTTTTATTTTTTTTATTTTTAACAGTGAAAAAGCTGGAGAGTAACATGGGCATTTCTCTGCTCCCAGGCATAGATTTCCTGCTGCGGCCACTCGGTCCTTTCTCAGTCTGAGCAGAACTCCAGGCTTGGGTCTGAGGTTCTCGGCATCCCAACTCCAGCGGGGAGTTGTTGATGTTCCGCTCATCTCCAGGTCGAGCTCTT